AGACAGATAGATAGATAGATAGATAGATAGATAGATAGATAGATAGATAGATAGATAGATAGATAGATAGAGCACATGCATATGTTTGAATATTATCAGGATATATTATTTTATATGTTGAATATGTGTACATGTACCAAATTAATATTTGGTTTTCTAAATATTAGCATATAAAATATATTATTATATTACAATTATATTATATTATATTATATTATATTATATTATATTATATCTGTTGTGAGTACTGAGTAGTGTAGATAGCAATATCCTACTGTACTTTGCACGCAAGGTTGTCTGTTTAGATTGTGGATCCCATTCTACCGGCAGAGGCGCTAAAGCGCTGCTGTTTTATCATCCTACCGCTAGAGGCGTTAAGCGCCATAGCGCCGCTATTCATCATCCTACCGCTAGAGGCGCTGCAGCACAATATACTATTGGCCCCTCTCGCTGTCCTCGCGGCATTCCACAGATGATGGACTTCTGAGGGATGAGAGGGGGATGCTAAGGAAATGTTTTCCTTCAGCACAGAAAACGGGCTGCTGTTCACCCCAGCAGAATGTGACTGAAATATCGCAGGCGAAGACCGTCAACCAGGTAAGGAGGTACGTTAGAAATAAAACGCCGCTGAGTTTTAACGAAGCGTTGCTGTTTGGTTTGTGTTGTAATTGACACGTCGCTTTAGCCGTGCAGCTGATGGCCCTCAAACAGACGAGCGCAAATAATTCACCTCACTAAACACACACAGGTATCACACTTCACTGGGACAGTTTTCACACTTTCCCGTCAGAGGCTCAGCGGTTTTTAAGCAGCTTACAAGGTGTAATGTCTCAGTGAATATAAACCTCTGCTGACTGGAGCTGCAAAAGAATATTTAACAGCTGGTTCATCCTGTGATTTATGGTAAAGCTGACAGATTTCCTGCAGTTGACAGGTGAGAGATATTAATTTTGTGTAGTTAGATCAGTATAACAGAAGACTGTTTAATGCTGCTTATTTAGGTTTAGAATAAATGTTATTAAATGTTTTTATAATGTAGTGTATTGTAAATGCTAGGCTATTATGCATATTAGGTTAACTATAAATGCATCAAATGAATCTGCTGCTTCTGTCTTAATCTGAGGTTGTGATGAGGTTTATGCTGCTTTCGAAGTTAAAATTAAACTGCAATTAAATTTTATTATCAGTTATCAGACCTGAAATATTTTTATATACTGTGGTTTCTGCTGGCGAATGCTTTTTCTGATTCTGAAATGTTGGTTAGTGGGGCTCAGGTTTGTTCACCCAAATGTGGAAATTCATTATTTACTCGAAAATATCACTGTTGTTCTATCCTGGAGCTCAAAAAGAGATATTTTAAATGTTCACTCTACTCTTTTCCATGCAAGTTTTTAATTAAATTTTGGTTTATTCCTGACACAAATTGTATTGCTTTGGAAGAATATTCAGTGGTGGCCAAAATTATTAGAATACTAGTATTTTCAGCAGCTAAAAAATGGTTTTAAGTCCATTATTTCTATCTTTTGCTGTAGTGTGTCAGTAGGAAATATCAAAACTGTGGCAACGTCTCCAAGATGCTTCAAGAAACCTTCCTGTGAGTAAATTATGACTGAATTAATTTAATTTTTCTATAACTGAGGGCAGTTTCTATGATTCCTGTATCTGATGTGCCCACATTGTTTTTCTCGCAGGTGATGCCAGTAGACCGGTTTGGACAGATATCAACGGTTACAGTGGCTAAAATGGCACATTTTAGGATTGTAAACTGTTGAAATAGAAAGTAAACATCTGCTAACTGCATCAATATATATTGAAGACGGACTCCACTTTTGACCTTTAGACCACGTCACACCTGCCATCAATATGTTAGGTTAAGAAAGTCTGAAGTCTTCGATCTTTGACACCGCAGTGAGTGTTTCCCCAGAAGACCAGGCTTTAGCATTGCTGGACTGTTGAAGGAGCTTTCATCAAGATGTTTACCGCTCTGAAGAAGCTGGTGGGCTCTGAAGCAGGGCAGCTCCGGGATAGAAATATTCCTGCAGGCCTGCAGTCCATGAACCAGAATCTACAGAGGCGTTTCGCCAAGGGCGTGCAATATAACAGTAAGAGCTTCATGTTTAATCTAACTTTCTTTGAGCAGAGCCACTCACAAATAGATTTCAGTTGTGTTGAAAACATCCATTGTTTTCTTGTAGGCTTGTCAAGTGAGTTTTTCTTTGTGGTTTGTCTAAAGGATTATACTTTTGAATAGAACTCGGCAGTACTTGTTTTGCTAGGTTAAACTTTCTTTAAAAACAAATTGAAACAAAACTCCTGAAATCTGTCAAGAACTTGTCTTGGTCATATTTCATCCACAAATCATTAAAAATGAATACATAAAAAAGTAAAAAGTACTAGTCATGTAATAGTAGTATTTGTACAACTTTTTAATTTATACTGATTTTAGAAAAAAAAAAGCATTACAGTATTGCAAATCCGAAGACAATCACCATTGAGAATAGCAGTGGAAATGTTATTTATTTATTGCATTACAGTAATATGAATTTGATTTAATTGTTATGAAAATAACATAAATGCAAAAACCTAAAAATCTAGCTTTATTTTGTCTTTATTTTTCCTCAAAACAATTATGAAATGCAAAGTTAAAAATTAATTCATTGGAAATTTGAGACATCATCAAAAGCACAACAAGACGTACAGTAACTGAATGCTTCTTGCTTTGCCTGCAGCCGGTGAGAAGGAGTTTTGTTGAAGTTGTGTTTTGACATGCGATGCTGCATCAGTGAGCCAGTCGGTGTTTCTTCATTGATCTGACTTTGAATACTCATCGTGATGTTTCCGCGGCTCTGTGTGTTAATAAAAAATGCATGAATGATACATGATCACCCACCTACTGGCCTATTTTTCCAGTCGCTTCTCCTTGGTAGAGGTGTATTTTTTTTAGACATGCAGAATGATATCCCAAGATACCAAGCATTTCAGCTGTGAAAAGTGCATTTTGGTAGATATAGCTGGCACTGTGCTGTATCAGTACAAAATAAATACAGTACAAATCTGGTGTGAAACTTTTTGTCTTGGTTTAGATCTTTCCATTTCCATTCAGTGCCCTTTGTTTATGCTTTGAAACTTGGGATTGTTTAATTTGGGGTTCCTTAGATCATGTTAATCTTCTTGTGTCTGCTTGTTTCTCTCAGTGAAAATAGTCATCCGTGGGGACAGGAACACGGGTAAAAGTGCACTTTGGCACCGGCTTCAAGGGAAAAAGTTTCTGGAAGAGTACATCCCCACGCAGGAGATCCAGGTCACCAGCATTCACTGGAACTACAAAAGTGAGTATTGCTGAGTACCTCGTGCACTGTCCCTCAATGCACCTCATAGCTTCGTCTTATAACTTAGGTTAGAGATGCACTGAAATTTCAGTGGCTAAAATAGCAATTTTCAGTTTCAGCCCGAAATAGCTTTGGAGGGCTGAAATAATTGGCCAAAATAGTGTGTGTTGACTGTAGGGGTGTCTATTTCATTCACACAGTGTGGATAACCTCAATAAGTAAACATTTCAGCAGTGTGAATGCTAGGATTGGATTAACAATATTGTTTTTAATCGATGCTGATATGGCTTGTTAAATCTCAAAATCTTCATTTTATGCTATGCTGTTTTCTGTTAATACGTGAACTTCACTGAACATTATTGTAGCACACCTGCCATCCAATAATCGCAATAAGCTTTTGTAATATGACACAAAGTCTCAAATTCTGTCAATTTCATCACAAAATACAAGCAATAAATGTTGTTTTGACACCCTTTAAAGTGTCGTGACAGAGCGCTGTAGCTGTAGGATTTTGCTAGATATATGCACAACATTACATTTTTGCTTAACCTTTTGTCTTCGTTATTTAATATATGTTTGATAAATCTGTCATGAAAACAAGTTTTAACAGCCACTATTTAAATGTTTGTATGTGCAATTTAAATGTTTGTACAACTTGTTGATTATTAAATAAATATTTAATTGAATATTAAATTAAATGTATTTTCGTTTTCAGTTTTCAGCTAAATTAAAAATGTAATTTCGATTTTGGTTAAAAAATTAATACACTTATACAAAAAAATATATAATATTTTAAAATAGTTTTTAAGTCTTTTTAGGTTTTTGGGCCAAATGCATCCTAAATTTTTTGTTTCTGGCCCAGAATTTTTATTTTGATGAATCACTAGTCTAGGTTAGGGCTGTCAAAATGACTGAAAAACTAAATTCGAATTTTCTACTTAAATATTATCAAAATTCGAATTATATTCGAATTTAAAAGGCATAATTTCAGTTAGGGGGGAAAAAGCTTTTGGCTTCTCTCCTGAGGCCACAAGAGAGCGCTTCGAGCAAAATATTATGCACGTTTCTTCAAAGCGTAATAAAATAAATTAGAAAAAAAAACAGGACCATGCATGTATGTATAGTTTAATACAAAGGACCGAAAACCAATCACAAAGAGTAGGCTACTTTATTCATTTAAAACCATTAGATGCAGTGGAATGGGGAAAAACCGCCATAACGTCTTTAGACATGTTTTTTAAAAGTTGAACTTGCATTAATTTTACATGGGTTTCTACACATGATAGATGTCCCTCTAGAAAATGTGATAAATATGAGTTCTGTGTGAATGGCTTGGTTTCATTTTTGACGTAAACAACATCTTCTCCACACTGATGCTCTCGTTTTCCGCAATATATGAATGAACAATGTAGCAGCGCCGCATCTAGTGGGTTCAACTGGATAGGCTAACAAAAGCATTCAAATGCAATCAATGACACATACATCGTCATCGCATCTCGTGCGCCGCTGATAAGGCTACCTGACGGCTGACGCAGACCTTAAATTCGAATGTAACGTTTTTGCATTCGAATGTGGATTTTTTTTTTTTTTTTAATTCGACGAATATTCGAAATTCAAATTTTTTTTGACAGCCCTAGTCTAGGTCAGTCAGTCTCATCTGCTTTTGCTTCAGGATATAAAGATGCAACCCAACACAGAACCATTCAAAATTGTTGCAAAAGTAAACAAAAATGCCCTTAAAATCAAAATGTGATTAAAATATAATTTTGTAAAATCATACACAATAACCAACATGTGATTTACCAGATAAACACATGAAGCAATCACTGTGCCAAATATGATATTAGATTTCTGTCTAATACATTACCTTGCTGTCTGCAACCCTTTCAGCACAGACTTGCGACTCATTTTTGGGTTGGTTTTATGAAAGGAAGTGGTTTATATTCAAAGAGCTTGCCAGTGATCTAAAATAATTTATATAAGTAGACTACCCTATCAGAAAAGAGAAATACTAGGTCATCTTTTGTGAAGTATCAGAACCTGTTGACAATATTTCTGACTGTATTTTGTTCTTGCTTTTATTTTTTGCCCCGCAGCAACAGACGATGTAGTGAAAGTTGAAGTCTGGGATGTGGTAGATAAAGGTGAGTCTTTAGGAAGCCCTCTGGTACTAGTGACAAGGGGCTTTCCCTAGTGCTAGTTAGTACAAGTTAGCCAGTGCAGCAGTTCGATGTGTGAACCCCAAACTACATTTTTATTTGCCGAGAAATAAGCACTTGAAAGATTTGCACTGAAAAATGCAGACCTAATGAAATGGTAATTTCAGTATGTTTGCAGCTATCTGTAAAGGAAAAAGATGTAATGTATTTTACTTCTTTTCTTATGGTCTGCAAATACTCAAAGGGCAAAAGCTTCCTCTTCCAGAAGGTGTAGGTGAGAACTAGTAATGTATTAGTCAAACATTAAACAGTGTGTGTGTTGTGATCTTCACCTCTCTTCTTTTACTATGAAACCGTGCTCAAAATAGACCTTCAGTAGCTTGTGCTATTATTAGAACCTAGTGTGGACTTGCATTAAAATCAGATGACCACATTTTTCCCACAGTACATTTATTTTAATAGGGGGCATGTGATATGTTTTGTTTATAATGGATCACATTTTGTATTCATTTTTGAAATTGTTGCCAGAATCATCTTCTATAATGTAAACATTATTTCAAACAGCCCCCTTTTAAAAGTTCATAAATGATGCATGAATTGAAAATTCAGTTGTGGTTTAAATTATGCTCAACAACAGTAATACTCTCTTAAGCATACCTGCATTTTCTATTTACACTCTTTGTAAATTGGTAGTTGTTACCTGCAAACCTTTACCATGGTAGCCATAGTTCTCATAAAAATACCATATTTAAGGTGATGTTAAAAGTTTATCTTTAGCCACCACTGACAACAAAAAATGTAATTGTGAGAAAGATTGGACATATTACACTGAAGGAGAACCCGTATGAGTTTATGATAAAACAACATCTATAGTAACTATAGGAGTAAACTGTGGTTACCATGAAAATATTTGCACAGGGAGCTGCTGCTGTTGATTCAGGTTTGCTCTAATTACTTTCTATCTGCTTTTGCCTTTTTTAATTTATACACATGTAAATATTGAAATAAGATACTGAATACTATTTTAAGGGAAAATACATCCGCGTATAGGTGGAAGGACACTCCATATTTCTCGAAGTTAGCAATGTGTACCCTAAATGTAATTTATATTATAATACTATTAGTACTAATAAGAGCAATATTTTACTTATGGATTGCTGTGACTGTCAAATTGTTTAGAACAGTCAAGGTTCCATCAGTCTTGTAAAAATGTGTAAAGATTCAGGGCAACCTACGTAAGAGGACAGCAAAATGATAGTTTGGCTGCTTTGGTGGTACTGGATGGGTAAGCATATGAATATTACTCTTCTCGTATCTCAGACTCACAGTTGCCTAATTGTATATCCATGTTTCTCCAACTACTGCAGGGAAAGGGAAAAGACGCGGAGAGAATCTGAAATTGGATAATGAACCTCAGGAGGTATTTGTTAAACAAGAAATATTTGTAGGTAGTTGCACTACTGTTGAAAAGATTATAAATGATTTTATGCTGAACAAGGCTGTATTTATTTGGTCGAAAATGTAGTAAAAACAGTGAAATATTATTACAATTTAAAATAACTAGTTTCTATTTGAATAAATTTTAAAATGTGATTTGTTCCTGTGATCAAAGCTGGATTTTCAGCATCATTACTCCACTCTTTAGTGTCACATGATACTTCAAAAATCATTCTAATATGCTATGTTGAAAACAGTTGCTGCTTCATATTTTTTTAGAAACAGTGCTACATTTATTTTAGCAATCTATGATGAATAGAAATTTCAAAAGAACAGCATTTATTTGAAATCTCTTTGTAATATTATAAATGTTTTTTACTGTCACTTTTGAACAATTTAATTATTACTTGTTGAATAAAAGTATTAATTTCTTTAAAAAAAGAGAAAAAAAACAACTTACCGACCACAAACTTAATGAATGGAAGTGCAAGTCTTCCGGACAATTACCATGCGATTAATACTTCAAAGTTTGGTTTTGACTGAAAATACATTTGATTTGTTGGTTATCATTTGACATCTCAAATTTCTCATTGTGTAGTCTGTAAGCTGATTTTAATGTTCATTCAGCTGGAAACAAGATGTCATTTTTAGTAATCTTGGAGTTGTTTTGTTCTCTGTGCAGTCAGAAACCGAGATGGCTCTCGACGCAGAGTTCCTGGATGTTTATAAGAACTGTAACGGTGTGATCCTGATGTTCGACATCACCAAACAGTGGTACGGAATCTGCCTTTCCTTCTGATTTTCCCCACGTTCACTCTCTCCAAACCCCTCATTCAGTCTCCCTCTCCTGTTCTTCCATCACTCCTTTCCCACCCCGTCGTCCCTCTTTTTGGTCTGTGGTCAGGATCAGGTGCCAGAACTGGGCGTTGGGTTGCATTGAGCATCTCATTCTCAGTAGAGTCGAGGAACAAAGAAAGCAATGAAACCAATACCTGCAGCTCAGTGTCTCTTAAAGGTTCTGACTCTGTTTATCTCTCTGCTCATTGGATCTGCCTTGCATTCTGCCAGTGGGTCTTTCCTTTTTGACCCAAGCACACCATCGCAGGTGCCACTTGTTTGCAAACCTGGGCTCTGCTTTATTGATAGGGCTGTGTTTTTGCCTTAACAACTGCTTTTGTGCTCCTGGGAGCCTTGAGCCTAATCTATATTAGATTTTTATTCTGTTAATATATAATTGTTTAATATATAAAAAAAAGAAACCATTTCATAATACCAGCAGTACAAGGGCTGCAGTAAAAGGCTCTGAAGAATTTTCTGAGCCATATAAGAGCAAAAATAGTCACCAGCATAGAGCATAATTTCTTCACTTTTGTAATGGCATGACAGACAGCACTATTTTCACCATGTTTACTCTGCATCTCCTGTGCTGTAGAAATTGCCACTTGGCCACAGTTGTGTACAGTATGTGCGGTTTCAACAGATTTATGAGGTGAAGTCTTCCCTCATGACTAAATAGACACAACTTTGTCTCTTAGTAAAATGCCAGCCAATGCTGAATGTTGGTTTTATTTTGCCTGCTCAACAAGGTGCTCTCATAAGATATCATTTCCACTTATGAACAACAGCCGAATTCTGTTTAAATGTTAAATTAACCTACTTAATGGCAGATTTTAGTGTACAGATGTGAAAAGCGAATTAAAGGTGGTGTGAGCGATTTTTCAAAAACGCTTTAGAAAACTGATTTGGGCCGACTAGCAAAACAAACTTGTAGCCAGTCAGCAGTAAGGGGCGTGTCTACTCATTGTGGAGGAGAGAGTGTTCAGTGCACATGATAGACATTAGCGAGCCGAGCGACAGAAAGATAGAGATGGCAGATAAAAAAACAAAAGAGGAAAACGTCTGCGGAACAAAAGAAGGCTTAAGGCAATAAGGCAAGAAGTAGGACCCGTGTAAATATCGGATCAGCTTTCCAGCGCTGAAGAGAACTCAAGGAGCGGAAGGCCTGCGATCGGATGCCGAGGTTGCTTTGTTTCTTCTCGATAGGTGAGTAACACCGTGTCTGCGCCGCAACAGCTAAAGTCTGTCTAGTACACTGGATGCGACAAAGCGACCATTGAAAATCATTTGAAATTTGTGTCAGTACGTCATGAATAGAACGCAGCAGCAGTTTTCTGTCTGGGATTTGTCGTGTCGTGCCGCGCCGCATCCAGTGTAGACCATAGATATGTATATATATCTATGGTGTAGACAGCATCACTGATTATAATGAGTTCTATAGTATTTTGTCATGCCGCGTCACTCGTGTCCAGTGTAGACACGGTGTAACATTGGTTTTGCTTTGTTTCACAGAACTAATCGTTGCCTGGGTTGCGTACGTATGTGTGGGGCGGAGCTATCAAAATAGGGGCGAGACCCTTTTGGGGTAGGGGCGTGTTTTTGGTGATTTCAAATGTCAACATTGGCTACCAGAAATCACTTACCCCACCTTTAAGATTTGAAGAATGGGACAATCTAGGATTGTCAAATCATCAATGAAATTCAGCTATCTCAGTGATCCATGTACGAAAAATGGGGCTCAGCTCACTAAATGAATGTTGGCTGTGATCTTGGTCTACCCTTTGCATTCTTGATTTTTCTGGTCAGCATAGTTTACCAGATAAAGGTAGAATTACTTTTTTTTTTTTTTCAGCTTGGTTTTTATGCTGCTGTCAGGCCAGTGTAGACAGTACATTTACTGCTTTGCTTTTTAATGCTGCTTGCTGGCATTAATGCTATGTGTCTTGCCAACGTATATGTGATGTGAGTGGTCTGAAGTCTAGGAGTGCTGGCCAATAATGCAAATAAGATGATTTGATGAATCGGTTTAAAAATATCCCAAACTGCACTAAATGTTAAAACTCACATTTTTAGATATAGATATAGTTTTTGATTTATAAATGTGTATCTAAGAGGTATGTCTATAATGTATAAAATTGTGCACTACACAAGGAAATCACATCAAAGTATGTTTCATATGAATCACAGACTCTTGTTTTTGCTGTAGGACGTTCAACTACATCCTTAGGGAGTTGCCAAAAGTGCCGACACACATCCCAGTGTGTGTCCTGGGTAACCAGCGGGACATGGGCGAGCACAGGGTCATCTTACCCGACGACATCAGAGACTTCATCAACAGTCTGAACAGGTGGGCAGTTCAAGATTAACACTCAAAACAAGGGGCTTACGGACCATCTTAGTCCAACTCCATGCTTGAAGTTGGGCCCTGTAAAATATTGTACTTTTTTGTACTAAATTTCGTTTTATTTTTTTCACAAATTCCATTTTTCTGGTTTCTGTTTGAAAGGTTATATTAAATGCTAGTAATCAAAAAGCATGTCTAATTAATTGAAATCCTGAAATGTGTACAATTTAACAACATTTTATTAAAAGTTTCACAAAAATTAAATTTTATGCCCCTATGGAATCCATTTTAGTTTTTTTTGTGTGCAAATTCTGTTGTATTTTCCCCAAATTCTGTTTCCCATTTTAATTTCTCTAGAGTTTTTTTTAATTATAATTATTTTTCTGTTTGAATGGTTTAATTAAATTTTAAAAATCAAAAAGCATATCTAATAAATTTAACTTGTATATTTTAAAATTTTAGAATTAAAAAAATACTCTTAAAACTTTAATTTATTAATTTATTACAATTTTTACAATTAGTTTTACAATAGGGCCCTATGAATGCTTTTCCCCAAGAAATTCTATGTTGTCTGTTTTAATTTTTCTGGATTTAATACAAATTTATTGTCATAATCAGTGGTAATCAAATAAAGGTATAAAACATTAAACATTTAATTGATCTTATATTATGTCATCAAATTTAAATGTAACAGTTCCTTTTATTCTTTGGTAAAGCAAATGCTGCACAACAAAGGTTTACTGTTAAAATTAAAACAAATACATTTTTAATATTTTTTATTCATATTTTTGTTACTTTGAGAAGACCTTTTTACTGGATAGTAGTAATATATTTCTGTCACAGTTTCTTCAAGTTAAACTTTTATTTCGATGGGTTGTCGTGAAGACCTTTAAATTTCAAAAAGGTAGTCTCACCTCATACTCATGCCATTGGTTGAGCCAAAAGTTTATATGTCAGATGGCTAAAAAAGTATAATTTTTTCTGTGTTAATGTTTTGCAGTAAGCCAGTCTACAAATGGGAAAGCATTTTAACAAATTAAAATTGCACGGTTACCTTAAAAGTTTCTCCTCCTTGATTATCTGACATTGAAAAATGAAGTATTTTTGCCCATGTGAAACAATTTAGCAATTTATGCTAATAAATCACGCAATGGGAATAAAAAGCATTTTATGAAATACTGGGAAGATCTGTCTTTCATGAATAACCTACACAAAGCCAACTTTTCCCCAACAGTCAACTTTTCCCTAATCCCATAATCCTTTTTCATTTTAGACCGCCGGGCTCCTCCTACATCCACTATGCAGAGTCCTCCATGAAAAACGGCTTTGGTCTCAAATACCTCCATCGCTTCTTCAACACCCCATTCCTGCAGCTGCAGGTCAGAGGAAACTCTCAAAGTCAGAGATGAACACTTGCTCTCGGGTCAATGTTTATCTAGTTTTAGCATCATTTCAAGTGGAATCCTCGCATACCTTACACGAGGATTTGATTTCATTCAGACTTCTAGTTTTTGGATCATGGCAGGGGCTCTTTATGCTTCTCCTGGAGATCTGCTGCCATGCACTAACACACCTGCTGTAGATTTCAGGGCTGTGTTCTAATTCACATACTGCAATTTATTATTTTTTTTTCAAAGCAGTATGCAGAAATAGAATGAGTGTCACTCAAATTATAGAGCACTGAAAATAGCATTCTAAGGATGCCTGGACATTGCTCTATTGTGAAAAAATATAGAGATGTATCCATGAGTTTTTTTGTTTGTTTTCTGCGGTTATTTTTTATTTTTTTTGCACTAGTGCTGAAATGGTTCTGTCTGTGTCAGGAACTGAAAATGAGAGAAATATGAAATTTCCTGATGCATTATTATTATTATAATTTAGTTAGTTCTGAGCAAAATCCCTTGAATTCACATCATAGCTACGATTTCTGAAATCACAGTAGCTCCCATGGTCATTGAAAATCTAGAAATATCAGACTACTGTATTTTAAATTGTGATTTCCTGACCTGGAAAAGTCACAGGAATTAATGAAATCTTTAAAGTCTGTAATGAAAAATTCCATTAAAAAAAATTCAGTTTTTATTTTGTATGTGCATTGCTCTAAAATATTCCATTAGATAGAAATTGATATCAATTTAAATTAAAAAAGTTAAATCTCTACACTTTTTTAAATAAATTTAAAGGATTTTAATTAAACCAGTGATATTTTTGTATTATTTTAATATTTTATAGTATGTATTACTATTTTGAATTAGCTTTTATATTCATATTTTCAGTTTTCATTATAATTAAATAATTTTATCTTAACATTTTAGTATTTTTGTCATGCACTTTTGAAGTTTTTATTAGTATTAGGTTTTTTATATTATATTTTTTATATAGCTTTTATTTTTACATTTTAATTTTAGTCTTAGTACTTCAACTTAAACTTATTTTATTTCATTTAGTTGCCAATGTTTTTCATCTAATATTTATATTTTATTGTATTTCAGCTTTATTTAAGTTACTGAAAGTGATTTTTAATCATTTTAGTTTTACTTTTAGTTTTCGTTAACAATAACAGCACCCTTATTAATCACAAAAGTTATGGAAATTAATTGGTCAAATGTTGCAGGAAGCCTACAGTAAGGTCTTCTCGAGAGCACTCAGTAGGCAGCTGTGGACCACCAGGAGCAGATTTGAGCACCCCTGCTTTAGCAGTAAAGTTAAAATCCTTTGCTTTATTTTTTATTCTCGTTATGCATCTCTAGAGACTGACTGAATGGCATTAATTAATAAGGTAGGTTGAAATTAGCCCGGGGATCAATGGCGATTGCTGTGTCTTATGTGTCAGCGTCTCAGGCTCTTCCTAAAGTTACTCCATAGTCAGTAGGTTGGAGGACTGGTTTCAGTTTAATGTATTTTATTGATCCTATTAGAGAAATTAACTTCTCTAGTCTAGTTCAATTAACCAGTTGTACAAGATCATAAATACAGATGCAACCTCTATAGCTCATAAAAGTATCAGATACCATATCAGGATGGTGCCAGGGGGTTTTGTTTTGGATATTTAACAAGTCTGTTTATGACACTCTTGTCTGCAGGACACTGTTGTTTAGATCTCCTGTTATACAGGAGTGTTTAATATTTGTCAATAGTGTTGTCGGTAGAACAGCTTGACTAAGTTGTTCAGACTTGCTGCAGTAAACGTGATGCAAATCCCGCTGCTCAGAATCAGTCCGTCGAGCACAGCATGTCAATCTCATGAAAATTTCAGTGCTGTGCCGAGATCTGTTTTCCTCTCCTTGCTATCTTTTTCAGTCAAAGTTTAAAGGCCACTTCTAACTTCCATGACTTTGAACAAACTTCTTACCCCAAGTATCAATTCTGACCGGTTAAGAACAGTTATTGGCAGGGGTGCACAAGTTTTTCAATCTAGTTTTCAAGAGAGCACCTGGAGATTTGTTTTGGTGCTCACCCTGCACATAGTGTGACCCATTAAATATTAACTATAATAAATAAATAAAAAATAGTATTATTGCATTTTTAGTTTTTTAAAATATAATAATAATAATAATAAACTTTGATAATACTATTATATTTTAAAATAAAAGTGAGTATATGAGTATTAAATAAAAACTCATATACTAAAAAAATACAATGCTAATATTTTCATTTTCAGTTTTTCCCTTAACTTTTTTTTTAATGATTATTTAACATTTTCAAACCTAAAATCAGCAAGCTTTTATTTTGGCGGGTTGTCATCGAGTAAGTATATGCACTGCCTGTTTTGGCGCTGCCGAGTAAAGTGCGTAAGCGAATGAAATGTCACAGGTTTGCGTTTTGCTTTGTATACCAGCAGTGCATAGCCTAGATTTATGCATTCGGTTCGAATGGAAATCATGTACATTATTACAGTAAGTTGATCTAAAACAGTGATTGTGCATTAACAGCTGTCGCAAATGAGTGGTGTGAACTTATTTACCCAGCGTATTTTTTATTTTGTTCATGCATACGCACCTGTGCACCACTTATGTGCACCCCTGGTTATTGGTTAGTCTGTGTATTTCAGAAAAAGTTGAGCTGACAGCTTGAAGGTTTGCATATTTCTCTACCCATTAATTTCCAGTCCTCCTCCTAATTTAGAAATAATAAAGCAGGAAAGTGCTTACTTGAGTAAAAATGAGGTCAGTGTTGATGTCCTGTGAGTTTACAGTGTGTTTGATGTGATGTTTGTGTTTGCAGAGGGAGACTCTGTTACGGCAACTGGAGACAAATCAGCTTGACATTGATGCCACACTAGAAGAGCTCAGTGTTC